AACAAGTGAACACCATAATTGCATATCTGCCATCATGCAAGTTGGTCCGAATAACTATCTGAGTGTTCGAACCATAATGCACGAGAAATGGCAAGTAACACCATAATTACATATCTGTCATCATGCAAGAGGGTCCGAATAAGTGTCCGAGTGTTTAAACCCCAATGCTTGAGAAATGGCAAGTAAACACAATAATTGTGTATCTGCCATCATGCAAGATAGTCCGAATAAGTGTCCGAGTGTTCAAACCCAAATGCACGAGAAATGGCAAGTAAGCACCATAATTACCTATTTACCATCAAGCAAGAGGGTCCGAATAAGTGCCCGAGTGTCTAAAACCTAATGCAGGAGAAATAGCAAGAAAACACCATAATTACATATCTGTCATCACGCAAGACGGTCCAAAAAAGTGCCCGAGTGTTCGAACCCTAATGCACGAGAAATGGCAAGTAAACACCATAAATACATATCTTACATCCTTCAAGAGGGTTCGAATAAGTGTCTGAGTGTTTAAACCCAAATGCATGAGAAATGGCAAGTAAACACCATAATTGGATATCTGCCATCATATAAGAGGGTCTGAATACGTGACCGAGTGTTCGAACTGTAATGCGTGATAAATGGCATGTAAACACCATAATTACATATCTGTCATCACGTAAGAAGGTCCGAATAAGTGTCCGAGTGTTTAAACACTAACGCACGAGAAATGGCAAGTAAAACACCATAATTACATATCTATCATCATGCAAGAGGATCCAAAAAAGTGTCCGAATTTCGAACCCTAATGCATGAGATACGGTAAGTAAACACCATAATTATATATCTGCCATCACGGAAGAGAGTCTGAATAAGTGTCCGAGTGTTTAAACCTCATTGCATGAGAAATGACAAGTAAACACCATTGCATATTGCCATCACGTAAGATGGTCCGAATAAGTGTCCGAGTGTTCAAACCCTAATGCACGAGAAATGGCAAGTAAACAGCATAATTCCAATTCTTCCACCATGCAAGAGGGTCCGAACAAGTGTTCGAGTGTTTAAACCCTAATGCTTGAGAAATGGCAAGTAAACACTATAATTGCATATCTGCCATCATGCAAGATGGTCCAAATATGTGTCCGAGTGTTCGAACCCTAATGCACGAGAAATGGCAAGTAAACACCATAATTACATATGTGCCATCATGCAAGAGGGTTTGAATAAGTGCCCGAGTGTCTAAAACATAATGCAAAAGAAATGGCTAGTAAACACCGTAATTACATATCTGCCATCACGCAAGATGGTCCGAATAAGTGTCCGAGTGATTGAACCCTAATGCACGAGAAATGGCATGTAAACACCATAATTACATCTCTTCCATCGTGCAGGAGGTTCCGAATAAGTTTCTGAGTGTTTAAACCCAAATGCATGAGAAATGACGAATAAACACCATAATCGCATTTCTGCCATCATGCAAGATGGTCCGAATAAGTGTCCGAGTGTTCGAACCCTAATGCCCGAGAAATGGCAAGTAAACACCATAATTACGTATCTGCCATCATGCAAGAGGGTCCGAATAAGTGCCCTAGTGTCTAAAACCTATTGCATGAGTAATGGAAAATAAACACCGTAATTACATATCTGCCATCACGCAAGACGGTCCAAAAAAGTGCCCGAGTGTTCGAACCCTAATGCACGAGAAATGGCAAGTAAACACCATAAATACATATCTTACATCCTTCAGGAGGATCCGAATAAGTGTCTGAGTGTTTAAACCCTAATGCATGAGAAATGGCATGTAAACACCATAATTGGATATCTGCCATCTTGCAAGAGGGTCTGAATACATGTCCGAGTGTTCGAACAGTAATGCGCGAGAAATGGCACATAAAGACCATAATTACATATCTGTCATTAGGTAAGAGGGTCTGAATAAGTGTCCAAGTTTTTAAACACTAATGCACGAGAAATGGCATGTAAACACCATAATTACATATCTGCCATCACGTAAGAGCGTCCGAATAAGTGTCCGAGTGTTTAAACACTAACGCAGGAGAAATTGTAAGTAAAACACCATAATTACATATATCTACCAACATGCAAGAGGATCCCAAAAACTGTTCGAATTTCAAACCCTAATGCATGAGATACGGTAAGTAAACACCATAATTACATATCTGCCATCATGGAAGAGAGTCCGAATAAGTGTCCGAGTGTTTAAACCATAATGCATGAGAAATGACAAGTAAACACCATTGCGTATCTTCCATCACGCAAGATGGTCCGAATACGTGTCCGAATGTTCGAACCCTAATGCACGAGAAATGGAAAGTAAACACCATAATTACGTCTCTTCCATCATGCAAGAGGGTCCGAACAATTGTCCGAATGTTTAAACCCCAATGCTTGAGAAATGGCAAATAAACAACATGATTGCATATCTGTAATCATGCAAGATGGTCCGAATATGTGTCCGAGTGTGCGAACCCTAATGCACGAGAAATGGCAAGTAACCACCATAATTACATATCTGCCATCATGCGAGAGGGTCCGAATAAGTGTTCGAGTGTCTAAAACCTAATGCAAGAGAAATGGCAAGTAAACACTGTTATTACATATCTGCCATCACGCAAGATGGTTCAAATAAGTGTCCAAGTGTTCAAACCCTAATGCACGAGAAATGGAAAGTAAACATTCTAATTACATCTCTTCCATCATGCAAGAGGGTCTGAATAAGTGTCCAAGTATTTGAACCCTAATGCGTGAGAAATGGAAAGTAAACACCATAATTGCATATCTGCCATCATGCAAGGTGGTCCAAATAAGTGTCCGAGTGTTCGAACCCTAATCCACGAGAAATAGCAAGTAAACACCATAATTACATATCTGCCATCATGCAAGAGGGTCCGAATAAGTGCCCGAGTGTCTAAAACCTAATGCATAAGAAATGCCAAGTAAACACCAAAATTACATAGCCGCCATCACGCAAGATGGTCCGAATAAGTGTCCGGGTGTTCAAACCCTAATGCACGAGAAATGGCAAGTAAAAACCGTAATTAAATATCTTCCATCCTACGAGAGGGTCCGAATAAGTGTCCGAGTGTTTAAACTCTAATGCATGAGAAATGGCAAGTAAACACCATAATTGGATATCTGCCATCATACAAGAGGGTCTGAATACGTGTCCGAGTGTTCGAACCGTAATGCGCGAGAAATGGCACGTAAACACCATAATTACATATCTGTCATCACGTAAGAGTGTCTGAATAAGTGTCCGAGTGTTTAAACACTAATGCCTGAGAAATGGCAAGTAAACACCATAATTACATGTCTTCCATCACGCAAGATGGTCTGAATAAGTGTTCGACTGTTCGAACGCCAATGCGTGAGAAATTACAAGTAAAACACCATAATTACATATCTGCCATCATGCAAGAGGATCCGAAAAAGTGTTCGAGTTTCGAACCCTAATGCATGAGATACGGTAAGTAAACACCATAATTTCATATCTGCCATCATGGAAGGGAGTCCGAATAAGTGTCCGACTGTTTAAACCCTAATGCATGAGAAATGACAAGTAAACACCATTGTATATTTGCCATCACGCAAGATGGTCCGAATAAGTGTCCGAGTGTTCGAACCCTAATGCACGAGAAATGGCAAGTAAACACCATAATTACATCTCTTCCATCATGCAAGAGGGTCCGAATAACTGTCCGACTGTTCAAACGCTAATGCTTGAGAAATGGAAAATAAACACCATAATAGCATATCTGCCATCATGCAAGATGGTCCGAATAAGTGTCCGAGTCTTCGAACCCTAATGCACGAGAAATGGCAAGTAAACACCACAATTATATATCTACCATCATTCAAGAGGGTCCGAATAAGTGTCCGAGTGTCTCAAAACCTAATGCATGAGAAATGGCAAGTAAACACTGTAATTACGTATCTGTCATCAAGCAAGATGGTCCGAATAAGTTTCCGAGTGTTCGAACCCAAATTCATGAGAAATGGCAAGTGAACACCATAATTACATGTCTTCCATCACGCAAGAGGGTCTGAATAAGTGTTCGAGTGTTCGAACCCTAATGCGTGAGAAATGGCAAGTAAACAGCATAATTACATATCTGCCGACATGTAAGAGGGTCCGAATAAGTGTCCGAGTGTTTAAACCCTAATGCACGAGAAATGGCAAGTAAGCACCATAATTACATATCTGCCATCATGCAAGACGGTCCGAATGAGGGTCCGAGTGTTTAAATCCCAATGCATGAGAAATGGCAAGTAGACACCATAATGACATATCTGTCATCATGCAAGAGGGTCCGAACACTACAACAAAAAAGGCCTTTGGTGACAGACTGATTTTGTCTCCAAACATCAAAATTTCATCACTAAAGTGATCTGTGACGAAAAAATTTTGTCACCACGTTCGTGACCTATACGTCGTCACAAAAAGTACCTGGTGACGAAAAACAATTTTGTCACCTATTTTTCATTTTTGGCGACGAAGTGTTTCATCTCCAAATGTTGAATTTTTCGTCCTCTAAAACACCAATTTCGTCACCAAAACTAAATAATATTTTATTTTAATTATTTTTTGCGATGAAATATTTTGTCACCAAATATATTTTAGTGACGAAAGTTTTCCTCACCAATGATATGGATGAAGGTGACAAAAAAATTCGTCACTAAAATGAACAAAAAAGAAAATTATTCAATGACAAAATATTTTGTCACCAAATACTTCAATTTAGAGACGAAATATTAAGCAAATGTGACGAAATTATTTGTTTTGTACTATGTCATTAGTGACAAAATTATTCGTCAAGTTTTTTGAAAACTAATAGCGACATTTTTTATTTTGTCACTAATAAAAAATTAAAAATTAAAAATTTTGAAAATGAGAATACTATTTTCTTTCGAAATTTTTTCTTTTCAATAGCAATTCCCGGCCCATTTCAATAACCAATTCAATAAAATATCTATTACAAATCAATACAAAAATCTGTTTATTTTCATAAACATCACAATCGAATTTTAGCACTATCCATAAAAATATAATATGAACTGCATGCGGATTATAAACATATCTCCTAATATCCACAAAAAACGTCTACTAATATCCACAAAAATATAATATCAACCGTATGCAGATTACCAAACACATCTCTTAATATCCAACAAAAAACATGTTTGCTAATATTAACAAAAATAAAATATAAAGGGCAGATTAAACACGTCCATATTCTACCATCGGCCCTCCAAATTACCAAATACGTCCATATCAAATCTCGAATCTGCAAAAAAATAAAACACAACAAAAAAAAGAAAAATGGTTAGTTGGACAATTATTATCTTATCCACAACATATACAATTTAACATGCATTTTTGGACTTAGTTTTCAAACCAGGAGTCTCGTGCTAGTTCCGTAAGTTTTCACAACTCACATTGGTCCATCCCGAGGTGTTTGAGGTGTTTTCCGGGCCGTCTCGTGGCTGTTGCACGATTTTGGCTCCCGAAAGCCTATTTTCAAGCTTAAGTGTGAAAAATTGCATTTTTTGACTTAGTTTTCAAACCGGGAGTCCCGTGCTAGTTCCATAAGTTTCCACAACTCACATTGGTCCATCCCGAGGTGTTTGAGGTGTTTCCTGGGCCGTCTCGTGGCTGTTGCACGATTTTGACCCTCGAAGGCCTATTTTCAAGATTAAGTGTAAAAAAGTACATTTTTTGACTTAGGCCTCGTTTGGGAACAGGCTATTTTAGTAACTTTTTGGCTTTTTACGAAAAGATGTGCAGAAAAGTAGAGAGGTGATGTGACTAGTTTTCAAACCGGGAGTCCCGTGCTAGTTCCGTTAGTTTCTACAACTTACATTGGTCCCCCCCGAGGTGTTTGAGGTGTTCCCCGGGCCGTCTCGTGGCTGTTGCACGATTTTGGCACCCGAAGGCCTATTTTCAAGCTGAAGTGTGGAAAAGTGCATTTTTGGACTTAGTTTTCAAACCGGGAGTCTCGTGCTAGTTCCGTAAATTTCCACAACTCACATTGGTCCCTCCCGAGGTGTTTGAGGTGTTTCCCGGACCATCTCATGGCTATTGCACAATTTTGTCTCCCAAAGGCCTATTTTCAAGCTTAAGTGTGGAAAAGTGCATTTTTGGACTTAGTTTTCAAACCAGGAGTCTCGTGCTAGTTCCGTAAGTTTCCACAACTCACATTGGTCCATCCCGAGGTGTTTGAGGTGTTTCCCGGGCCGTCTCGTGCCTGTTGCACGATTTTGGCCCCCGAAGGCCTATTTTCAAGCTTAAGTGTGGAAAAGTGCATTTTTGGACTTAATTTTCAAACCGGGAGTCCCGTGCTAGTTCCGTAAGTTTCTACAACTCACATTAGTCCCTCCCAAGGCCTTTGAGGTGTTTCCCGAGCCGTCTCATGGCTGTTGCACGATTTTGGTCTCCGATGACCTATTTTTGAAGCTTAAGTGTGAAAAAGTGCATTTTTGGACTTAGTTTTCAAACCGGGAGTCCCGTGCTACTTCCGTAAGTTTCCACAACTCACATTGGTCCCTCCTGAGGTGTTGTAACCCCCAAAATAGTGGGTAGCTAAAATTACTAATATTTGATTATCACTTATGTGCATGTCAGCATACTTGGAGGAGTGAAGGGTAGAATATGGATTTTAGTTCCAAGAGTCAGTGAGTTTGCTATGGTGTATGATGAGATATATGGTCTCTACGCTTGAATAATAGCCACTCTTAGGTTTAGACCCATATCTATCTTAATCCAATTTCCACTTCATTCACCCAAAACAAGCAGGCCTTCAGTGCAGACCATAGCTAGAAGGAACATGGCTAAATCAGAGGCAATGATCATAAAAAACATGTATTTATAATTGAAAAGAATGAAGGTCCCCAATGAGGCCTACCAATAAGAAAAAACATACAAATGCAGAAGGGTTGTGTTGTGCCTAGGATTCCCAGAAAGCATTGCCCAAAAGTACAAGCACAAACATGGGAATACCAAACATCAAATAATGCCAAAGATCTGAATCATATCGAGCCAACGCTAATTTCATCTCAAGCAACAAAGCAAAGATATTTTTTACACCCAAAAAACAAAAACAAAAAGGTACAGTTATTGATCCTATATGTACAATATATATCTTCCCCATAGTTGAGGTTGATAAGGCCCGGTCAGGTATATAAACTATCTTTAATCTTAATAATGCTGCTGGATTAACATTTTGGAAGTACTGATCTTGCCAGTTAAGGCAATTCCAACCCCCATCAAAAAAAGAAACAAAAGGCAATACTAAAAATAGTACTAAGCATTTTCCCATCAAAACCACGTATAAGGTTAAAGGCTATGAACAAGGAAAAATTTAAGTACTCGTTCATAATTCGGTGGATGATGAGTCAGTTCTTTGCCTCCGCATTCGTGCTCCCCATGACATATTCCCATGAGCGTTCTTATTCATGCTTCTTCTCTTCAGCTCTGACAATTGGACCTGCCACCGGTTCTTCCACTCGCTCCGTTCCTCCATTTGCTGGTTGGAAAAGAAAGGCCGAAATCAATACAAAATGAGATAATAAAACAAAAGTTTGAATTATTAAAATAAAACGAGAACTTCTACAAAGGACGAGGAAGAGAAACACCAAGAAAAGACAAATGTAAACGGAAAATATCAATTTCATTATCAATAAACATCAACCATGTACCATAGATCCATACAAATACAGAGCCATCAATCAATAATAAAATATGAGAAATATCCATTTCATTTTTAATAGCAATTGGATGCAAAAATCCACCCTCTACTAGAGACCTCATGGAATTTGTGGCACTCTTTGCATAGTATAATAAAAAATAGAAAATAGTCCAACCACAAAACATCAAAAGAAAGTCATGCCACCAAACTCAAAACTTCAAATATTTCATAAAAAAGAAACAATCAGATTAATGATTGCATGCTGCTGAAAACAAAATGATCTCATTTCAAATGGTTTGTAAAGCACAACAAACTTATTCTAATCTTATGTCTGCCAAGGACACCATTACATATATGAGAAATAACCACTTTTTGAACTCCTTAACAAAAGATGCATCAACACCCCATTATTCTTGGACATTTTTAATCTAAATAAATATTCCCTTTTTTTTTTAAGAAAGAGATCAATTAAATGCAAGGCAAAGTGATAAAGTAGACAAATATACCTCTCTCCCCAGGAAAAAAAAGTTATGATATCCAATATAAACAAAAGACAGAAAATAGAGAAACAAATAATAAATAAATAAAATGTAAAACCTTGATAACCCCCAAAATTGATGAACTAAACTTTCATTAGGCTATGTCTAATCATTCATCAGATTTTTCATCAAATCGAGGACAACCGGCCTTTCTTTATCTGAACATCAATTTCCATCCATGACCAGACGTCCACCCGGATGTCCTCCGAGACAATTGGGCTTGTAACAAGATTTGATGAAAATTTTAAAACTAGATCAAACTTTTTATCAATTTTGATGAACCGTTAGACATGCTCTAACTTATTCCAAATCAACCCATACATAAGCAAGCTACACTAGAAAAAAAAATACTAATAAAATAAGTAATAATTCATGTGAAACAATGAAGGTCTATTGAGAACATAAGCGAAAATTCACCCATAAACATTCAAATTCTCATGAAAGTATATTAAGAGTTGAAAATTGGGGCAACCAAATGATAACTTCAGTACTTAAGAGTCCGCATATGAACCTAATATAGTTGCTAATGAAAGAAAGCCACAAATGCTATAAACCAATGGAAAGCTGAATTTAAATTTTTGTGTAATAAACTCCATAAACACCTACACATGTGCATGCATAGATCATAAAGTTTACTAACACAGGCTGTTTGGTACTCCAGAAATTCAATCCCCAAAAAAACATAGCAAAGCAAGAAAAAACACAGAATTTGAATTTGAATAAAAAAAAACTTAATCCAACCAAAACCCAAAATCAATTATCACCAAATAACTACAAATCAGATTAAAAAAAAAAAAAAACACATAAACCCAAATCAAAACACACAGTGAACACCACCAAATTAATCCCAAAATACCCAAATAATTACCTCATCGCTCTGGTATCGCCTTAACAATAAACAGTGATTTCAGAGGAGGTAAGACAGTGAAAATACCAAATGGAGATTAATAATGAAATATTTTGGCCCAAGTTCTAAAAATCTATCACATTATTTATTTTCAGCATAGAAAGTAATCCAATACCTACATTGAAGACAGTCATTGGTACTCAAACCTTATTACCTTGATTGACAGAAAAATCAATGGAGAGTAAATCATCACCAACAAACAAACCCTAGACAGAGAAAGATAGAGAAAAGAGAGGGGAAGAGGGAACGGGCACGGACCGTGAAAGGTGCAAATACAAATTCTGTCCTCACGTTTGAGAAATTGCTTCTCATCTCTTAAGATAGAGAGAGATAGAGAGAGAGAACAAAATAAAAACCCTAGAGCTAGAGTGAAATAGGGAAATAGAGAGAGAGAGAGAGAGAGAGAGAGAGAGAGAGCTGAATCAAAATCGATTGGAGGCTAGACGGTGTACCGACCGTGGCGATGAGACGGTGAGACACAGTGAGGGACGGTGATCACCGTCGATGAGAGGGACGATAAGCGATGGGCAATGGTCAGTTGATAAGAGGGAGAGCGATTGGGGATATGAGAAGGAGAGCAAACGACGGCCTGTTTGTTGTTTGGTTTGTTCTGTGTGTATGTATCATACATACAGAGAATAAAATCTAAAAAAAGATACAATAAAAAATCTTAATAAATATAAAGCGATTAATAAGATATTTATTAAAAAATAAATATAATCATATATTAATTAGAAAGTGTGATTAAAAAAAATATAAATAATCATATTTAATTGAAAAGTGATATAAAAAGATAAATATTATTACACTCAATCAAATCAAGTGTGATTAAAATATTAATTTAATTTTTTTTATTACACTTCCAATAAAAGTAAGATATTTTCATTCATTAAAGTGTGATTTTTAATTATTTTTGTAGTAGTGAATAAAGCAAGTAATAAGATATTTATCAAATAATAGATAAACAAAAATCACCACATATTTAAGAATTTCTATAAAATCTCTTCCATTAGAAGATGTAAAAGAATTTCTTTACATAAGCCTCCCTTTAAACTTACAAGATCTGAAACTTGACCGAAATTAACAAGTAAGCCTACAAAAAACCCGAAATTGGCAGCCCATTCTGCACCCCAAATTAGAACTATGTCATCAGCAACTATCACTAACTAATTTCTACATAGCAACTTACATTTATGGGAAAAAGTTAGGGTTAGAAATTGGGGACAACCAGAGAGAGAGACAGCAACCAAGTTAGGGTTAGAGAAAAACCAAGTGAGGAGGACGCAGGCAGCAAAGCATCCAACAAATTAACGTTCAAATTGGGGGAAAATAAGTTACGAAAGTGAGAGACGAGAATGGGGATAGCGAGATAGAGAAGAAGGGGGACGGAGGTTGGAAAAGTGAGAAGTGAGAAGTGAGAAGAGGGAAGAGGGCGCTCAGAAAAGCGAGAAGAGGGCAGGGGGAGAGAGAGTGAGGCAAAAACAGGGAGCGAGAGAGAGAGAGAGAGAGAGATTTGTTGTAGAGAGCGCCGGCTGGTAACGTGCGGGTTAACTGGTGCGATAAAGATAAACGAACGGTGTGATGGAGATGTATGGGTGAGGGAGTGACAGAGAGAGATATCTATGGTTCAATTTTATTTTTAATTGATTTTAAGCATTTGGTGACGAAATTTGGTTTTTCTCTCTAAAAATAATATATTTGGAGACAAAATTATTTCCTCTCTAAATTGTTTTACAATGGTGACGAAAAATTTCGTCTCCAAAATGGCGCCAAATCTTCCGCCAAATTTTTCAAGGGCGGGAAATTGTTTTGTGACGAAAAATAAAATTTAGAGACGAATAAAATTTTCGTCACCTATTGTTTAAGCATTTGGTGACGAAATTTGGTTTTCGTCTCTAAAAATAGTACAATTGGAGACGAAATCTTATTTTCATCACTAAAACATGCATATTTGGAGACGAAATATTTTTTCGTCACGCGTTTTCGTTACCATAGACCTTTTTTGTTGTAGTGGAATGAGTGTCCGAGTGTGTAAACCCTAATGCACGAGAAATGGCGAATAAACACCGTAATTCCATATCTGCCATCACGTAAGAGGGTCCGAAGAACTGTCCCAGTGTTTAAACACTAATGCACAAGAAACAGCAAGTATACACCATAATTAAATATCTACCATCATGAAAAAAGGGTCCGAATAAGTGTCCGAGTGTTCGAATCTTAATGCGTGAGAAATGACAAGTAAAACACCATAATTACAAATCTACCATAATGCAAGAGGATCCGAAAAAGTGTCCGAATTTCGTACCCTAATGCATGAGATACGGTAAGTAAACACCACAATTACATATCTGCCATCATGCAAAAGAGTCTGAATAAATTTCCGAGTGTTTAAACCCTAATTCATGAGAAATGACATGTAAACACCATAATTGCATATCTGCCATCATGAAAGATGGTCCGAATAAGTGTCCAAGTGTTCGAACCCTAATGCATGAGAAATGGCAAATAAACACCATAATTACATATCTATCATCATGCAAGAGGGTCTGAATATGTGTCCGAGTGTTTAAACCGTAATGCATGAGAAATGGCAAGTAAACACCATAATTACATTTCTACCATCATGCAAGAGGGTCCGAATAAGGGTCCGAGTGTTTAAACCCTAATGCACAAGAAATGGAAAGCAAACACCATAATTACATTTCTTTCATCATGCAAGGGGGTCCGAACAAGTGTCCGAATGTTTAAACTGTAATGCTGGGGAAATGGCAAGTAAACACCATAATTGCATATCTACCATCATGCAAGATGGTCCGAATATGTGTCCTAGCGTTCGAACCATAATGCACGAGAATGGCAAGCAAACAATGTAATTACATATCTACCATCACGCAAGAGGATCCGAAAAAGTGTCCGAATTTCGAACCCTAATGCATGAGATACGGTAAGTAAACACCATAATTACATATCTGCCATCATGCAAGAGAGACCGAATAAGTGTCCGAGTGTTTAAACCCTAATGCATGAGAAACGACAAGTAAACACTATAATATGCATCATGCAAGAGGGTTCGAATAAGTGCCCGAGTGTTTAAACCGTAATGCATGAGAAATGGAAAGTAAACACCATAATTACATATCTACCATCACGCAAGTGGGTCCGAATAATTGTTCAAGTGTTTAAACCGTAATGCACGCGAAACGGAAAGTAAACACCATAATTACATACCTGCCAACATGCAAGTGGATCCGAATAAGTGTTCGAGTGTTTAAAACCAAATTCATGAGAAATGACATGTAAACACCATAATTGCATATCTGTCATCATGTATGAGGGTCCGAATAAGGGTCCAAGTTTTTGAACCCTAATGCACGAGAAATGGCAAGTAAACACCATAATTACATATCTGCCACCACACAAGAGGGTCCGAATAAGTGTCCGAGTGTTTAAACCCTAATGCACGAGAAATGGCAAGTAAACACCATAATTACGTATCTACCATCATGCAAGAGGGTTCAAATAAGTGTCCCAGCGTTCGAACCCTAATGCATGAGAAATGGCAAGTAAACAACTTAATTATATATCTTCCATCATGCAAGAGGGTCCGAATAAGTATCCGAGTCTTCGAATCCTAATGCGTGAGAAATGACAAGTAAAACGCCATAATTACATATCTGACATCATGCAAGAGGGTCCGAAAGAGTACACTAATGCATGGGAAATGGCAAGTAAATACCATAATTACATATCTGCCATCATGCAAGATGATCTGAATACGTGTCCATGTGTTCAAACACTAATGCATGGGAAATGGCAAGTAAATACCATAATTACATATCTGCCATCATGCAAGATGATCTGAATACGTGTCCATGTGTTCAAACACTAATGCATGGGAAATGGCAAGTAAATACCATAATTACATATCTGCCATCATGCAAGATGATCTGAATACGTGTCCATGTGTTCAAACACTAATGCATGGGAAATGGCAAGTAAATACCATAATTACATATCTGCCATCATGCAAGATGATCTGAATACGTGTCCATGTGTTCAAACACTAATGCATGGGAAATGGCAAGTAAATACCATAATTACATATCTGCCATCATGCAAGATGATCTGAATATGTGTCCAAGTGTTCGAACCTAATGCACGATAAATGGCAAGTAAATGCCATAATTACATATCTGTCATCTTGCAAGAGGGTCTGAATAAGTGTCCGAGTGTTTAAACCCTAATGCATGAGAAATGGCGAGTAAACACCATAATTACATATCTGCCATCACGTAAGAGGGTCCGAATAAGTGTCCGAGTGTTTAAACCCAAATGCACGAGAAATGGCAAGTAACACCATAATTACATGTCTGCCATCATGCGAAAGGGTCCGAATAAGTGTCCGAGTGTTCGAATCATAATGCGTGAGAAATGACAAGTAAAACACCATAATTACATATCTACCATCATGCAAGATGATCCAAAAAAGTGTCCGAATTTCGGACCCTAATGCATGAGACACGGTAAGTAAACACCATAATTACATAGCTGCCATCATGCAAGAGAGTCTGAATAAATGTCCGAGTGTTTAAACCCTAATGCACGAGAAATGACAAGTAAACACCATAATTGCATATCTGCCATCATTCAACATGGTCCGAATAAGTGTCCGGGTGTTCGAACCCTAATGCACGAAAAATGGCAAGTAAACGCCATAATTACATATCTGTCATCATGCAAGAGGGTCCGAATAAGTGTCCGAGGGGATAAACCCTAATGCATGAGAAATAGCAAGTTAACACCATTATTACGTATATACCATCATGCAAGAGGGTTTGAATAAGTGTCCAAGTGTTTAAACCGTAATGCATGAGAAATGGAAAGTAAACCCCGTAATTACATATCTGTCGTCATGCAAGTGGGTCCGAATAAGTGTCGGAGTGTTTAAACCCTAATGCATGGGAAATGGGAAGTAAACACCATAATCACTTCTCTGCCATCTTGCAAGATGGTCCGAATAAGGGTTCGAGTGTTCGAATCCTATTGCATGAGAAGTGGCATGTAAACATCATAATTACATATCTGCCATCATGCAAGAGGGTCTGAATGAGTGTCCAAGTGTGTAAACCCTAATGCTCGAGAAATGGCAAGTAAACACCATAATTACATATCAGCCATCATGCAAGAGATTCTGAATAAGTGTCCGAGTGTTCAAACCCTAATGCATGAGAAATGGCAAGTAAACACCATAATTACATATATTCCATCATGCAAGAGGGTTCGAATAAGTGTCCGAGTGTTTAAACCGTAATGCATGAGAAACGGAAACTAAACACCATAATTACATATCTGCCATCATGTAAGTGGCTCCGAATAAGTATCCGAGTGTTTAAACCTTAATGCACGAGAAATGGAAAGTAAACACCGTAATTATATATCTGACATCATGCAAGTGGGGCCCGAATAAGTGTCCGAGTGCTTAAACCCTAATGCATGAGAAATGGCAAGTAGACACCATAATTACATATCTACCATCATGCAAGAAGGTCCGAATGAGTGTCCGAGTGTTTAAACCGTAATGCATGAGAAATGGCAAGTAGACACCATAATTACATAT